AGCGAGATCATTTGAGATGCGTATTTGGTGGCAAAGTCTGTCAGCTCCTCGACGTCGCTGTTTTGGCACTGCTGGCCTCCGCGGCTTGGGCCCCTTTAGGTGTCCCAGCTGTTGTCGCATAACTACGGCACTCCTGTACTGGACTAGGCCTAGTTATGGTTTTGGGTGCTGCCCCTTGCTGCCGTCTTCTTATCTCTTGGCCCTGCACTCGGCCTCTTTGTGCATCCATCAAAGTTTGCGGGATGCACTTCGCGGGCTCTTAATAAGGGACCTTACAGTCCGCCGCTCTATGCTTTCCTGTGCATCTAACGCAGCGCGGCTCTCCCGTGCAGTTCATTTGGCTGTGGCCAAACTGCTGGCATCGGTAGCACTGACCTGGTCCATTCCTCTTTCTTAATGCCTCCACTTGGATCACCATGTGGCAAACAGCATTTATCTTGTAGATTCCAGTCTCTTCCTGCGGGAGATCTACTTTGATTAGCGGTATCACTTTGCCAGTTCTCCTACTGGTCATTCTGATCACCCTCTTTGAGTGGAAACCTTGCCTTACCAGGTCTTCTCCGATCTCTTGGCAGGTGGTGATTATTGGCATCCCCCTTAATACCACTCCCAGAGACTTGTCTTCTGGAACGGAGTATGTATGTTGCTCTATATTAGCATCTTCCAAGGTCTTTCTAATCTTTCTGTCGTCCTCACTGTCCTTTGGTTGGACCTTGATACCTGCTCCGGTTAACCGTGCAGGCTTCTCAGTTGTGAGCATCTTCTTGCTCACTACTTCCTTCCACTGTTCTTTCCTATGGATATACAGCGGCGGTGGCCTCTTCTCCTTATTCTTACTTGCCTCCGACTGCGGAGGAGTGGGGATGGACTGGTCCATCTCTTGCAATTCTGCAGTTGTTTTAGTTGCAGATGTAATGGCCGGGTTGTGACTAGGTGCCTTTTTCTTGGGGGCATCTTCCTTCCTTCCATCTTCTGAGGAGGTGCTGTGCCTCCTCTTTTCTTTCTTTTGGTTTTCTTCCATTACCATCTTGTTTTTGGGGGCATCAACCTCGATGCCCTGTCTCGCTGCCATTTGCTCAATGAGCTTGGCAGTCCTTCCGCGTTCTTCGGCGCTCGACCTTCTCTCTTCGATTAGCTGGCGCGTTAAGTCCGCCAGCTGACAAGATAGCTCAGCTACCTGTTTCTTTAAGTCCTCATTTTCTCTTCTCATTTTGTTGAGATACCCGTCATGTTGGGCACCCTCTTCGTCTTCGCTAGCTGAGGAATAGATGTATTCCTCGTCGTCCAACATCTTTGCCACTGTATCCAACGTGTCCCGTTCTATTACAACCATCGACTTTCCAAAGTACGACATTTACACAATTTCCAGTTGTGGCCGCCCACTGGAAATTGTGTGTTCCATTCGCGCTGGTACCCTTTTAGGGTCACTGCACTTCGCTCACTTCTCTCCTCTTTACTTTGTTGCGTCCTTTTCCACCAAGTCCCGGTTTTACACAATTTCCAACGAGTGGAAATTGTGTAAGAGTTTTTCGTCCGCCCGGTTTAGGCGTTGCCTATTGGGTGGACGTCACTCTCGCGTTCCCGTGTTCTCTTCGCGTCTAGGTCGCGCGCGTGTCGCCTGTGTCGCGTGCGGTCTCACTGTCCTCGGTTCGTGTTCACTCCTCGGCGTGTGCATTGCGAATGGGAGAATGAATGCGCGGCTGTTGCCAACTGACGTAAGACCCGACCAAGGCAGGGTGAGTTACATTAAGCCGTCCCTCTAAAACGCCTACAAGGTGGCACCGAAGATACCATGGAAGATAACTCATTAGTGCAAGGTCCGTTAGCATATCGATAGAAGAGAGTCAAATCTCTGAGCACCTACCATCATCTAGTATGTACAATAACATGGATTAGTCACATATTTTTCGATCTATGACGAACCTTTTTACATTGAATGAAAATAAGGTATAAACAGCTATGACGACAGCGTTTTTAAGTGGATGCATTATTTGAGATGTTATATTTACTTGTATGAATCTCACATATCCTATTTCTAAAGTACCTAATGAAATTAGTGAAACCTCAGAGCCGTCTAAAATATAGTCTGTTATTGACGGCTTCCCCAGTGTTCAACATTTGTAGTTTCAGCTAGTTTATCAAGACCACCATCACTGTCCAGAAAACTTACATTTTACATGAATCTCCGAAAAACGCTCTGATTCATTCGTTCTTCACAGACTTTTTTCCGCTCACGGAGTATTTTATGTACTTGTCTGTACATAAAAAATGTCAGCATTACCATACATCATAACTGGAATTAATTATTTCTATTCTACTGTCCTGCCTCTAATGAGCCGTATATTTTTCCACAAATTTATTACCGTACTCTTAAGATTGTAATAGTCCAAGCATACTGCAGAGCATAATCTTTCAGCTTGCAAAGAGGGCCTTTCAGATCGATCAATTCGAATGAGTCGAGTCTACTAATTTGTTCTTAAACGTTTTTTGATAAAGGCTCGGTAAGCGAGCAAAATATCACTATTAGAAATAACCACTATTGAAAGCTGTTCTATGTAGCCATCTCCGGCTAGAATCAAAGCTTTCTATTATGTTTTCATACTCGTAGACTACTGAACTCTGTCGAATACATCAGAATAATTAATAAAATGAAGTCAATGGTAACCCATCATGATATGGTCCAGATTCATTGTGTGCGCACTGGACTGAGTCAGTTGTGAATCCAGAGCAATGAACTGTCAACACTGATGGAATCGCCCCGTCCCATTTGTACAATGAAACGATAATGCAGCAAACATACGACAAAGAGGTCCGAGAGAGAGATGGAGCTAGTCAGGGCAAAAAGCGCGCGGACTTGAATGAATTGCATAGGAAACCGAGGATTTTTAGAGAAGATTTAAAAGTTATTCAGGCAACTGGAACGAGATAAAATCCTGGAAACGTAATTATCATTAAAAAACCAAGTTTTTTTTTATTTATATATACATATGTATGAAACTTGACAATGAATTCTCCTTTACACATTTGAAGATATAAAAATTAGTATTCAACATAAGTAATTAATAATTCAGGTAGCAAAGAGATTACATGTCTGCTTATAATTAACTTAACTGCTCTAATAAGCTATATCTTACATATAAAAAATAAGAGCTCTAAGAAATATCACAATAAATACATGTTATTTTCTATATATCTCTATAATGTTCCAGATAGTATTTATGCACATTTAAATTTATATTATTTTAAATGTAGTGGGAACACGTCCAGTTTTGTAGAGATTAAAGTGTACAAAGAAAAAACCCTTATATATATATATATATATATACAATTACTTGTGAATTGGGGAGAAAAATGTCTCCCCACGTGTAATATTTTTAACTTGTTCGGGTGTATTGATATAATTTTTTATTTTTTCTTAACTTTTAACGAAGGTATCTGTCGTTTTTCAACAAGCCCAATGTCCCCGTCCTTTTGTTTTTATACTGAACACAAGTTCGATCTTCTCTACGTCCTTTCTGAAACAGCTTGTGGCTGCAACCTCACCGACGAAATCCTGATGATGGCTCCATAGAGAATGCCGAAAGCTTGATTTTATCGTCAAAAGAGTCAACTTTAGCCTAAAAGTTTTGCCAATTTCCCAATTAACAAGTAATTGTATTTTGTACCCAACTAGTCGTTGGCTTTGGCAATGACTACTGCTCACATATATATATATATATATACAAAATATTTGTGCACAATGGCATTAACAATACTAGATGCACAGTTTTTCATTATAATACAATATAGGTTATACCATAGTTCATTCTAGAAATTATGTATTCATGTTTTCTTTTCAAAACCCTTCGATGGCTAGGTTCTTTCTTGAGATGGGCTGGAAAATCAAACACAGATGGAACTGGCACCTTTTTTAGTACCTTATTTCCATCAACACTAACTTCATAATCCTCTGGAGTGAAACGCTTTTCACAAATTACCGTTTTTGCACTGGGAGTAAAGTTTTCTCTTCTTATAGCATGTATCCACAACTTCCTCATGTTAGGATCTGTAGGTATCCTAAAAATCCAGATATTTTCTCGAATTACCAATTAACAGGTAATTCTCACACAAAATGAATGAGATGATTAAAACCAACCTGTGAAACTTCATTTTCACATCTTCTCTGCGTCTATTGCAACAATTCACCGCACTGCAAGATTCAACCATTTTTAAACAAATATCACATGAAACAACAGCTCTTGAAGGCTGTCCGGCATAAAAATGTTTATAATAATTGTCGCAAACTATCACTATTAATCTTTAACGTCACTAAAAACAAACATTCACCAAAAATCCTTAGAACATATATGGAAATACCACAATGGACCACGATGTTTTGCCAATGTTTTGCCCTGACTAGCGCTATCCTTCTCGTTTCTCATTCTAGCCGCAATGAATTCGCGTTACGGCTGTTCCATCAGTATTGATAGTTCATTGATCCAAAGTGTCTTGGAAGTCTACACCGGATGTGGAATGCAATACTCTGGATCTCGGGAACGGTTGAAGTTACAATGTTGATTAAACGACAAAAAACATGCGTGGTTGTACTATCTTTTACGTAAAGCTTACATAATTGAGATATTTTTTTCAGACCTGTAATTTATTTGAGAAGAGCTAAACACAATTTATGATATTTTTATCTTAATTTTCCCGCTTCCTTTAATTTTGGTAACGATTCTTGGAGTTTGGTATAGCTTGGCTGGAGTAATTGACCTCGAACTCACTTAAAGCCACAACGTTTGCCTTGGTTTCATCTTCAATTATTTAAACAGATCCTTCGGCATTTTCCCATATTACCAGTATTCCTGGCCTGTAACTGAATAAGGAGCGGATATGTTTTCCCATTGCGCAATGATGTACCGTGCTAATATCGCCAGTTGTTTTCATTCGGCGTACACGAGGCTGAGAAGAGCGGCCTGCCTGTATGAATTATGGATCTGAGGAAAGCGAAGATGTCTTTGTTATATCCTATTTCGTTGAAGGTGAAATATGGTTTGACGCCTCATTTCCGCAACATTATTTACCACCACCAGAATGCCTGATCCTCCACCTCCCTGAAAAATTACACGCTTATATATATTTTAATCAAGAAACATGGCCGCACTGCGTGAAGGGTGAGGCTCGAATTACCGAATAGAGTTGGTAACCGTGATTCATAGCCAGCTGAACACAAGTCACTGACATCACTGAAATGATGAAGGCGACTAATCAAAAATGGATCTTATTGCAGATAATAAGGTATAAAACCGATTTCACGACGGCAGTTTATGCTTAGGCGTAAATGTTTCTTTTAAGAAGCAGCTTGCTTTATCAAGAGAAGCCGTTTCATTGAATGCCTTTATGAGCCACCGGTCGGATCATTTGAACCTGGGTTTCTTCTGCATTATGGTGAAGAAGCCGCCCGCATTTCTTTTGTTACATCATCGCGAACTGATTAGTACGATAAAAACTAGTAAGATCTTATGTATTTTGATGGTAAACAGCAAACGTACTGAGTTTGCTATTTCGCAGAATTGACTAGGTCTTAACATACCATGTCAGTAAGTGATATAACCAAACGCTTGCGGTCTGCCCTTGGACTATTGCTGGTTTACAGAAAACAACGAACTATGAGCCTTGGTTTGGCGATTCGCCCATAGATTCTAAATTCTGTCAAGGATCCGCGCGTTTCGCTCATCGGTGACTGTATTACCGACACGGTGATGCTGAACTGATACAAAATGCTTATAAAGCGTTACATTTATTTTGAGCTGAATGGAGTTCAGTTCTTTTCGCGCTAGTTATGGCAAACAGTCATATGGAATTAGTGAAAGCCTGGCTCTCTAAATAACTGAAAACTATGTCAAATATACCTACAATTGGCCAAAATAGCAATTTGAGACTAAAATAAGTTAAATTTCAAGCCGAAATTCCTCTTTGGTTGCTAAACTGGATCGTATAATATTGTGTGTAGAGCCCCAAAGGTGTTATTTGTGACTTTATTCAATAAAAAATATATTTTGTAGGCTGCAAACGGATGACAGGTATCCCCACCATCGATGAATGTCCAAACCAGAGTTCCCCAAACTTTTTTGTGTCGTAGACCAATTGCCATGTTTTTCCGTGTTGGGTAGACCCCCTACTTACCTGATATTGATTTCCTGTAAATTTCTAACTGTAGTGAAGCTTAGTGTTAAAAACTTAAAGTAAAAACACATGTTAATTTATACATTTATTAATTGAATATAAATTAAAACTACTCAAAATAAAATTTTGTATCTGTTATGTAAAATATACGTAACATTAAATAAACAGGTGTCTGACCAATAAATGCCCGCATTGAGAATAAGTGCCCGCATTGAAAAAAATTAAGAGGGATAAAATAAAAAAAAGTGAAAAATAATAAAAAAAAGAAGTTTTTTACTTAAAATAGTAGAATAAGCGAGTCCGTTTATTAATTATAACATAAACGTATGTTGTACAATAATTTTACTATTAGTTTGATTAAATTCCGCTTCTTATACGTTTAAGTTATCTAAAAATAGGCAAAAAGTTAACGAATTTTAGTGTGTACCTATCATTGAATTTTCAGAATAATTCTTTAAAAAAATCAATGCGGGCACTTATTCCCAATGCGGGCACTTATTGGTCAGACACCAAAAAACATAAAATAAACTACAAATAAAATAACATAAGCAATAAGTCAATATTTTTAGTGAGAAGGATGAACCTGATGCTTTAATAATAAATTATCAACATTTGGCGTCAATTTTGTAAGGGTTAATCTTAAATCTCCTCGGCTAATTATGTCCAGTCTGTTTCTTTTTTTCGTTAGGAGATTGGTAACAGCGCTGAACCCCCTTTCCACTAGGTATGACGTTGGAAAGGAAATTAAAAATTTCCTCGCTATATTCCATAATACGGGATAAGTAACGGATATGTTGTTTTGCAGCCAGAATTGCTGATATCCGTTTTTAAACTGCACCTTAAGTTCTTCGTTTGTACTTAGTTCAGTCAGTTCCTCCTGTATTATGACATTCGTTTCTTCTATGTCACCATATGGATTAGGTAATTATCCACGGTGGTATTACCATATTCAAAATATCCTCAAACCTGGATTCAAAATCTGAATAGGGGGCATTTAAATGTTGAACGTAAGTTGAAACGTCGTCTTCCTGGCAGCTTGTCTGTGACAAATTGGGGAACTGAGAAAATTCGCCCCGTCCAATATTTTGCTTCATTAGTTTAACTCTGGCAAGAAACGCTGATAAGATGGACTTTGTTTTAATCAAATTTAAACTGTCGCCTTGTAACTGCAAATTAACCATATTCAATTTTGTAAACAAATCTGTTAAATAGGCGATGTCTGTTTTCCTCTTCATTAAATTTTCTTTTAGAATTTTATCTTTAGTTTCCATAAATTCTAAAATAGTCTCAAAAAGTGAAAAAAATCTTGTCAAACATAAGCCTTTCGACAGCCAGCGTACTTCAGTGTGAAGGAGTAATTGATGAAAGTGTTCGTCATTTTCTTCACACAACTGCGTAAATAACCGCGTATTCAACGCGTTGCTTCGGATTCGGTTTACTGCATCAATGACTGAATGAAGTGATTCATGCAATCTAACACTCAAATTTTTAGCAACTAAATGTTGTCGATGGATGACGCAATGTATTGCTAACACCCCTGACACATTTTGTTTTAAATAGCTTATAAATCCACGATAACGTCCAACCATGGCAGGTGCTCCATCTGTAGCTACTGATATTATATTTGATAAAGGAATTGCTTCTTCAATGAAGTAATACTTCAAAACATGAAATATTGATACACCTTTAGTGTCGGTTATCAAAGTTCTTGCGAAGAGCAGTTCTTCGTAGATTTCTTGATTCGTAATAAAACGAACATATGCCAATAATAAGTTGTATAGAGAAATGGGTCGTTTGCAAATAATTACATAAGAAGCTTTCATTATCAGAACTCATTTCATCAATACGTCTTTCAACATTATTATTGCTTGAGGGAATTCTTTTAATGATATCAGATGCAGGTTTGTGTAAAACAGTTTTTAAAACCTCTTCGACGGCTGGCAAAATTAACTTCTCTCCGATAGTATGCGGTTTTCCGGATTTTGCTATAAGTAACGAGATATTGTAAGACGACTGCAAACCATCATCATTTCTTTGTGATGTCGAAGCGAACATTCTGTCCAGTGTAGGTCTCTTCTGAAATTTATCTTTGAGTGTTTGAAAGTATTTCAAATCTTTATCTGTTTTATACGCACACATAGGCGATTGTTTATCCGGCAATGATGTAATGAAGCCAAATTTCAAATAAACAACACTGTACTGTCTACATTTCTTTTTAGATTCGGACATGGCGTCAGTCATCTGTGGGCAAAATTAAATTATCTAAATAAGACAGAAAATCCAGCAGCTGTATATTAAAAATATTTTTTGATTTTTCCGAAAACATTCCATAATTCGAACATCTTGCAACAATTAGCTCGAATTACGGAGATTGCACTGTAATTATATTACCGATTGCTAAAACTTTCAAAAAGAAACTATTGAGGAGTATTCATGTAATTTTGCATGATTGGATATTTAACTAGTAATAGCTAAAGTCATGATTGGCGTAATTTATCTATCTTTGCTAACTACGAGTACAAAACTAAAATTTAATAAAAAATAATGTACTTACTTTTCTCCAGCACTCTCAAACAAAATAACACTGACTCACTATAATTTGTATGATATACTATCTGTTTATATTTTTTAAAATATTTTCTTAGCACTTTCCTTTTCAAGATTCAGGAAACGAATAAACGTATTTGTCCCACATTCGTATTTATAGAGTGACGAATTGAACAAGTCAGTGCAAGGTAGCGAAGCTTTGAGACTGCGAGTCTCAGGTTTTTACAAGTTCAAAATCTATTGCGACCACAAAGCGAATACAATTTTATAAACAAATATAATAATTTTTTTACTTCATAGGTACTTTTATAAATAATGTATATGTTTTGATATTATAAGGTAGTATGATGTAAGTAAATAGGTACTATCAGTGTGTGTTGAGATCCACTAGACCCCTAGGGGTCGATATAGACCACTTTGGGAATCAATGGTCCAAACAAAGGAAAGCATCAACAAAAAACTATTTCACTACGAGTGGTGGTCCATGAATTTGCCCAGAAATGATTATCGACCTAGAAGCACTTCATTTACCATATATGATCAAATAAGAAGGGCATGTGCTTAGATGGTATCAGCTGTTTTGTGAACTGAGGTTGTATCCCTCATGTATCTCTAATATACTATAATATTTTTCTTAACGAAAACCAATTTATCAACGATTCCCACTATATATTGATAACAGTAGTATGAGCTGTCGCCTTAATGTGCTGAACAGATTCAACCGAGTGGTTACATTAGCTAGGTTTTGTCTTTATTTTTTTTTCAGATAAAGTGTTGTCTCCGATCCCCTAAAGTTGACCACTTAAAACAATTTTTCACTCACAATCAATTGTATGCTTCCACAATAACCAAACAATTTTTTTTTCTACTGGAAAATGTTCACCCTTGTTTCTTTCAGGATCGGACTTGCAGTTTTCCCAGTAGTGTACATACAAAAATTCTTATGAATCTGCCCCTTCCTATCTCGGGATATGTACTTGCGCGTTTTGACGTTTTTCCTTTGATTTTAAAAATACACGTATTCCTATTTCTTCTTTCTCAAAATTCAACTTGTTGGGTTCTATACCCGATTGGAAACATTTAGCAATCGCCGTGATGGTTAAAATCCTACAAGCCAATACTATGGAAATTACATAATTGAAGGCACAAGTGAATGAAGGTGTCATGTAACAAAATCATTGTGTAGAGAGGATTGACTTACGTGTAAACATTTTTTGCTATTATCTTGTTTTTGCAACAAAGTGATCACAGAATGAAATGAGCAATCCTTAAGGTTAGTTTAATGCAAAGAAAGCGGTTTTTAAAAAGTGTTACATGACACCTTTAGCCACTTGTGCCCTCAAATGTATAGTTTCCCAGACTGTTTGTATTCATGTTGTACTCTAATGAATGGTTTTCTTCCGTTTTTCTGAAAGAGGACCTTATTGTTGTAACTATTTTATTTTTCCATTGACATTGTAATGATTTTGATTAACATTCAAGGCCCTTTGTTGTAACATGTTCAGAAGAAGAAAACTGGTAGACGTTTTTCAAAGGTTGACTTAAACAAAGGATCACGTCCTTCTGGCATGACTTCATTTTGAGTTTGGCTACATCCCCGACAATTTGGACATTGTGTTTTTCCTAGAGGTAGACTAATTTCCATCATGATTTGAACCTGTCATAAAATTGTCATACTATTAATTGTGTCTCATAAACTAAAAGTTATTCTTTTTAAGCGTATATCCTATGTACCTAGAACCAGGGCAGCGCGTGCCGAGTTGCTTTGGAACATGTCAAAACTTGCATATTAGGCGTGCGTTAGCTATCGTCTTGCAGTACTCGTTTGTTCTATTAGTAAACGCACTGTTTCCGTTCTGTCGACATGTCGAAGGAATTATGTTCCGTCCTCGTCGAAGTAAATATTTAGAATACATATCGTAGTACCCTCGTAATATTATCCAACCGCCACGATTTCCAAGCGCGCACGCAGAGAAGGAAAGCGGCACCGCGCCCCTTTCCCCTACCTTTCTCGCTTCTGGCCGCATATAAACCTTCATTCCTTGTTCTCGTGCCCGACCGTCAAGACGTTAATCGGCGCGCCTCGTTTACGTGCTACGGCAGAGCAGTGTCGAATATCCGCTGAACATTTAGAATTAGAAAACAGGACAGAAGGTAGATGTGCATTATCGAACGAGATACGGACCGACGGGCGCCTGAAGGCTGCTTTCGTCACCGACCAAAATTAAAAAGTGGCATGCAGGCCTCTTTGTCTGAAGGGGCGTCATCATCAGGTAACGGTCAACTAACCGATCTGTTTTAGGTGCAAGTTAAATGAATATTAGTATGGATGCCTCACCGGCTCTGCAAATTGTGCCTGGCATGACGTTTGGGATAACGTTCTCACACTGTTGCTTGGGATAGCAAACTGGACCTAGCTTGTGATAGCCAACTTGATACCTAGGACGAACAAAGGCGTTTGGGATAACGCTGAAACATTGCACTCGGTTGCTTGGGATAGCAACGTGAACCTGGCTTGGGATAGTCAGCTCCACACCAAGGACGAACGAAGACGTTTGGGATATCGTGGAAGCATTAGACTCGGTTGAGGTAGCAAATCCCATCTAGTTTGTAATAGCAATGTAGTAATATAGCATTTTTCATTTATAACAGATAAAAGTTGGGTACATCTATGTGAGACTACAGCGGTACATTTTGCTTGGGATCGCAAATTCTATCTGCTTTGTGATATCAATGTAGCAATATAACATTTTTCATTTATAACAGATACAAATTGGGTACATCTAGGTGAGACTAGCGGTACATTTTGCTTGGGATAGCGAATTCCATCTGGTTTGTGATAACTATGAAACAATATTCTAAGGATGCATATGACAAGTTAGGAAGAAGCCGAAGTACCATTTTTCATTAAAAAACGACAGAGATTAGCTACATTTTGCTTGGGCTAGCAAATTCCACGTGGTTTGTGATAACCGTGGAACAGGTGTGTAATTATGAAAATGTCAGGTTGAAAACCGCCAATGTATATCTTATTCTTATCACCAGATAAATAATATGCACCTTATGTGAGGTTAGCGTTACATTTTGCCTGTGAGAGCAAATTTCATTTGGTTTGTGATAACCTTGGAATATCTTTATCAGAATGCACATGGCAGTTTAGGAAACCACTAAAGTACCATTTTTCGACAGAGATTAGGCTTTATATATGCGAGACAAGCATTACATTTTGCTTGTGATAGCAAATTCCATATGGTTTGGAATAGCCATCGAACAGGTCAATAATATGCATATGACAGGTTACGAGACAGCTGAAGTACTATTTTTCATTAACAACAAATAGAAATTAGGTACATCTATGGTAGAATAGCGTTACAATTTGCTTGTGATAGCAAATTCCACATGGCTGGTGATAACCATGGAACAGGACTGTACATCTGCACATCTCCGGTTAGGAAACTACCACAGTTCTAATGTTCAGGAATAACGAAAGCTAAATATCATTATGCCCGATTAACGTTACATTTTGCATAGGTGACACTCGAACAGCAGGGTGCTATGGATTGTGTTCTCTTAAAGGCCATGTAGTGCTGACATTTCGAGGGCAGATCTTGTTGATGACCATGGATGAATAAATTCTGTTCTATTCTAGCCACCTAAGGTGAATCCTGAGGTAACGGAAGCCATAATAGAAATTGTCGCACGCAGGGATGCGTGCTTGGAAAATCAGCACCTATCGAACTTTTTCTTGCCCCCAAGTCTGATGGGTCAACAGGTTTGATTCCTTACCTCAAAACTTTGTTTATAGGAATATAACACTTAAGTCTTGGCTGTTGAACTGGGATCAGACTTCTCCGTAGAGATACTTTCTTAACGAATCTGGATTTGGAATATGCAGGAATTTTGGTACCCGTTAATGAGAGTGATAGAATATATACTAAGTGACATATAAATCCGAACACCCAGTTTAAATGGTTTTATTTTAATAAAATGTTGTATAAGAACTTAATGAAGCATAATAAGTAAATGATAAAAATTTCAAAATGATTGCACTGCTTTAAAGCCATTTGACCTTTAATAATGTGTGGATGCACCCTGATGTGCTACGCATTCTCCAACGCGCCTAGGCATGCTTCTGATCAGGCGGTCACTGTCCTCCTGTGGTATCTCATTCCAGGCAACCACCAACTCCTCTCGAAGTGCTTCTAGAGTCTGAGGAGAACGTTGCAAATTGAGCAATCTCCTACCCATCATATGCCACACGTGCTCAATTGGGGGTAAGTCGGGAGATCTTGGTGGCCATGGTAACAATGTCACATCATTATGTTGAAAGAAGTCTATTGTGACTCTTGCAACATGTGGTCGGGTATTATCTTGTTGGAAAGTTGGATCTGCCAGGGTGTCAAGATAGGGTAAAAGATGGGATTCTAGAACTTCGTGGATATAACGCTGCGCGTTCATGTTACCTCTGATGAAGGTTAAAGGTGACCTGGAACCATAAGCTATACCACCCCAAACCATAACTCTAACAG